GTNGGCAGCAGCAGCATCGGCTGCGGAGGACAGAACAGCCTGGAGGCAGAGAGCTTATGGCCCAATTCTCCACCTGGAGAATGGATAAATGATGATGAATAATTTTGTTTTTTTGTTTCATGTTTGTTAACAGGGGAGGTACAGATTACTTTTGGGAACAAGGTACTGCAAGCAAAAGATTTAAATTGGATCCAAATGAATCCCCTGCAAAGAGGAATGGGAAATTTGAAGGAACTACATTTGCTCTTCCAAGAGAACACAGGCAGGACTTGACAGTCGGTGAAATCTGGAAGGAGAAGAAAAATATTGTCATAGTTGGGAATGCAGAGTCATCATTCATTTTGTACTGTACAAGAGTTCCTGGAACTTGCAACATTTTCAACACTCGCACAATGTCACTAGTTCTGCTTGAGCCTGGTAATGGCAAAATTTTAACTGATAGTATCAGTAATATTTATATTTTAGACCTTTTCCACCTTGTATGAGAGATGTCTGCAAATAGAGACCACTCTTTCCCTCTAACCTCAGGGAAATGTCCCCTCCCCCAAGCATTATCAAAGGTAGATCCAGGGGGAGGGTGCAGGAGGTGCACACCCGCTGAGATCTATGACCCTCCTAAGAAAAATCCTGGATCCACCCCTGATTATTGTCAGGTGATATGGCATTTTCCACCAGCTACACGTATCAAACAAGTTACACTGTAGTAGCTATTCTCCAGGCTTGAGCACATCAGAGTACATTTTAATTATAGTGAGACAAGCACACTCATCCAGTAGAGAAGGGAAGCTCAGAAAATATTCATGACTTGTAACTAAACCTGCAGCCAGTACTTAATTGACTGAGCCTTTCCTTGAACTTGTTTCTTAAATGAAATGAATATAGTCATGTCTGGTACTTTCAAATTTTCTTAGTTTTTCTTGGTCCATAGTGATGTTCATAGACTATGAGTAGTCCCTCTTTCGCTTAGTCCATCGTGCATGACATGAAGGAAAACCGTGAGAAAAAAATGGCCATGCGAAATCGTGGTGGTGGGGAGCGCGCGAAAGGAGGGACTACCGCCTAAGCCCAAAAGTTTGAATTATGCATTGCTCTCACAACGCAAAAATATGATTGGCTTATGTTAGGAGCATTGACAAAGTGTTGTCAACATTTGAGATACGTGTGACGTCTTGCAGGAATGTTTTGGAACTGGAGCAAATTGAAGTGTTGGAATCGCACTTCGCAAGCCATGATGTTTTTGTGAATCTGCCAACAGGCTTTGGAAAGATTTACATTTATCCAGTGTTTTGTTTGGCAAAGCTTTCCCCCTCCAACCCTAACTGCAAGCGTTTTAGTGATTTTGCCGCACAACAGCATCATCCAAGTCAGCGAATATAAATTCACTGAGCTTGGCCTTTCTGCCGTCCATTTGAAAGATTGAACTGGACTGTCACTTGAAACCGGACATTCACCTGAAACTTTCCGCTGCTATTGGCAAACATTTCACCGCAGTTGGATGATCTCCTATGTCAAATACATAATGTAAATTCTTGGTTGAAACTCTGCATTTGAAATTTTTGCAATAACTTTTAGATTTACACCTACAGACGCAGCAAAAATTTTTACAAGATGCCTTATTCGCCATCTTCTTTTAAAACTTCTTTGGCAGTTTCGCTGAATGAACACGAAACGAAGGCATATGTTTTTGCCTGGCTACTTGAAGAGTAGAGTCTCCCAGGGTTATTGACAACAGGCGATAATAAGAGGACGTCAAGATGAGAAATCCTACACCGAAAAATCACTCGGCTGTTAAACAGCAAACTCTTGGGCTTAGGCAGTAGTCCCTCCTTTCGCGCGCTCCTCATCCCCAGGATTTCACGCGTCCATTTTTTCTCGCAGTTTTCTGCGACATTTTGGAAAAAAACTGATGATGTACTGTGGCCTTTGAATAACTGGTATAGTTACTTACTACATATATGTTTTAAACATTTTGGGTCATTATTAATAGTTTACTGTAAACTTTAAAAAGTGTTATTATTATAATTATTCCATTACTATTATTTCAGGTAGTAACTTCTATATTTGTGTATATTGTGGTACATGTAGGTCATCGTATAGTAGGTCTTGATGCTTGTTATACTGATCATCATGGTAAAGTTGCTCTTCAAGCTGAGAGGTGTGCTGATGTTGTCATTCCTGAAACACCAGATCCTGTGTTGACAAGCTGTGGTGTTGTGCTTCTGTATCAAGATCCACAGTCAAGGTTAGTAAATTTCAAATGCAACTTGTTCCTGCTATAATTAGAAAGTGTAATTTTAATAGAATGGGCTAGATCCAGTGGAGTGAAAGCAGATTTTTATAGCTGTGCTGCCTATACTGCCATTGCTGGTTAGCAATATTAGGTACAGTTAGGATTATTAGGATTCGGGTAATGTAATTTTACATGATCACACTTTATTTGGTTTCAGTTCACTCCAGGTGCTTCTGAAACGTTATCTTTCCAGTCAAGCATTTGTCAATGTAGCAGCAGCATTAGCACAGTATTTCCGTCGCATGGTGTCTGGCCGCCCTGTGCAGCTGGATATTCAAAGTTTGACAGAACACATTGGTGGATGGATGTTAGAGGAGGTTCTAAGTATTGCTGCAATGCATGAAGCAGCTCTTCATCAACTGTTTTCTCACATGTGGAAGTTTAGTAAGAGATGGTGCTCTGTACTAAATCCTCCTCTTCCACAAGATCTTGAATTACTAAAGGTATGAAAGACTGTTTGAAACAGTTTTCCACCAAGCTTTAATTTAGGCCCATTAAGATAGAAACAAACCTATCTGGTAAGCTGGTTGGCCAGATTCTGAAGCTGAGATGAATTTTTTTCATATTGAAAAATTTCATGTACCTAACAAGGACATTTCCAATAAAATGATTGACTAGTAAAGTTATCAGCGCCCCAAACATCAATTGAAATTGATTCACCATTCAAGCTGTCCATTTTTTGCAATGCCATCCTGTTCTGGAATACAGTGGAATACCGATTTTGGAACCTTCAAGGGAAACGAAAATTGGTTCGAAAAATTGGATAGTTCGAGAAATCGGGGGTAAAATTGCAGTGTTCGACTGAGGAGAGGGCAGCGACTTTTGGTTCAAGTTATTGAGAGGCTTGAAAAAGTGAGGGTTTGAAAAATCAGGATTCCACTGTAGCTATCAGTGAAAATTCATTAATGAGGATTTCTTTTATCAAGGCTAGAGCAGAGGATGAACTTGCCCGTCGACAGGCAAGTAATGTTCAGCACTCGGAAGATTTCTATCATCCTTGGAGTCTTCCAAAAGGAAACTTCAAACACAGAATGCTCTCAACAGGTTTAGTTTTAATACATATTTTTTCATGTATTATCATGTTCTTTAAAAATATTCCCTTTATTCTCAAAATAATGGCAATGGTTTCATTGAATGACCTTCAAAATTATTTGCATGGGTTTTCACGGTTCACTACTCAACAATTTATATATTGCATAGTTCCAGAAAATATCCATGCTTCCATTTTTCTATTCTCTTAGGGCATTGAGGCAATTGAAACTGCATTCTGTGGGTAGGATATTAATTGTATTTATTTGTGATTTTTTTGTAAGAGCTTAAATATATATGGTGCAGAAAAAACANGGGGGGGGGGGGGTTCTCTAGGACCAAAACATTTAAAGAAGTATATCAAGCTTAATTGGAAATTCCAGAGGCGTGGGGGTCTTGGAAAAATATCCCTTTGTGTGGGGGAGGTATGGATATTTTCTGGATCTACACATTGTATTTTTGGCAATAATTATTGTTTCAATCAACGTCACCATGGTGAGGATTTTTCTTGGTCACTGACTTGTTTGTCAAACTGGTTTGCAGTAGCTCATGAAAAGAACACACATTACAACTATTCATTTTTGACAAAGTGGAAGCTTGTCAGTTGAACAAATGGGTCACTTTTTGAGGACCAGGCTTAACCCTTTGACTCCTGTGACGAGCCTTGGCCTTTGTTCCACTTCTGGCGTTATCACCTTCGACCAAAATTGGCATCATCTATATTCAACCTCTGCAGGAGGAAAAGATCTTTCCAATGATACCCAGATCAGAGTGAGCGGCTCAATGGAGCCTTAAATATGCACGAAAACGCTCAGAAATTTGGGTGAAAAACTCAGACCAAAATTTCCTGCGACTACACGTGGCTGCTCCATGGTAAATATTGCCAGTCTCAAAAATGATAAGAAAAGGAGAAAAAAGAAAGGCAAAAAAAAAAAAATTAAAAAAACAAAAACAAAAAGCTTAAAGACGTAGCTCACTTTCTCGTCCAAAAACTTTGATTTCTATGCATGCCTGAGCAAAAATGTCATAAAAACGTGATGCTAGTGGAAAGGAATGCATGCTGTCATGTTGCAAATGCATTTTTGAGTAGATTGGAGCTAATTTGGCCTATACTCAACCTGAAAATCTCCAAAATGTCCAAAAAATATGTTTTTGGCAAAGAGCTCTGGGAGTCAATGGGTTAAATTTGCAGTATTAACATGGCTGTATCAAGGCATGGTTGCTATAGTTGTAAATTTTTAACTGGGCCTTAGTTGTTGAAACATCTGAATAAGTTGTTGTTTTGATTGGACAAAGTGAACAGCCAACATCTCTTCACAGGTATATAATATTCAGAATATGTACCCCAGGAACACAATGTAACACTTACTCTTTTAAAATACCACTTTACCAGTAAGGCAAAGTACACTGCAAATTGTTGGTTCCGTACTTCAAGGTTGTGATTTTTTTCAGGCCTATTTATTGAACCAGCTGTCGACTGTGCAGTGAGGGAGCTAAAGGAAGAGACAGGAATTAAGTTGGACATAGATGAAGTGAAAAACAGTCCTTGGATTGACTTGCTACAGACTGACAATTTTAATCCCCATAAAGGTAGTGATAAAATAGCAAGTTAATTCCCGCTGCGGCTTTCTGGGATCAAGCAAGTGATCCCAAAGTGTCTATTAAGTCAATTGTGACAATATTTTTTCTTCAATTAGTTCAGGTAAAATAGGTTTTCAAATCATGACAGAAATAATTGTATGGCACATTGCAATGTTATGAAGGTTGTATAACTTACCAAAATAGACCTATATGTATTATTTTGTCACCTACTTAGGCGATGTGGTGAAGTATTTCCTGTATGTGTATCAGCCAGATGCCAGCGAAGAACTGAATATGTCACAAGAGTCAGATCTGGGAAATAGCTCTACTGAGTGTGAAGCAGAGCAAATCAAAGATGGAGGTTGGTATTGCACAGCACTTGATGCAGTTGATGCTTGCTAAACATTGCATGCTTGGTAACTCAGCAGCCTGGTGCCTGGTGCTTGTGCTTATCTCAAGTTTCCTTAACAGGAAACATGCTTGTCCATTGCAGGTTAACAACAAGCTTTCTATTACTGATAATTCACATCTACCTTACACTTCTAACTCTTCTGAGTGGAGAGTGGCTCTGTGATACATATAGGTGTGTGTCTTGCCCAGTACTGATCTGGCAAGGGCTCAAATCCAGACTGCTTGAGGTGACCCAAAGTCTGACAGTAACACACTAACCATTTCTGTTATCATTACGTGCTATATAAATATGTCAAAGGCTATACTGGGTGGCAGGTTCAAAACATGCACACAGAAACCTTTTGTGGGGGATGGATATTTTCTGAAACGTTGAACTATTCCTCCTGTTTAGTCCCTCTTCCTCTCTGGCCTTTTCTATATCACTATTCAACTTATGACATAGTCCCATTTTGTTTAGTTATATTATACTCCTCTTTTTACACCAAAGACAATCTCATTGACCTCTAGTTTATTATTGAATACTTTCAGTGGAAGATTCATTTCCAAAGTTTCCTGCTCTCGACACATCATCTGAGCAAGAGATAGTTGAGAAAAGACAGGATGACAAAAAGGGTGAGGAGGACCTGTACGAGTTTCAAAAGGGCATCCAAGAAGACTCTAACAGCTTGAACAGGGAGATGGAAAAAGATATTGCCAATGAACCCTTACAGTTAGACCAAAAAAATGTTTCTGTTGACATTGAACAGTGTACATCTAGTAGAATTGAAGAAGTATTAGAAGAGAAAAGGGGCATTAAGCGCAAGAGAGATGATGATGATGATGATGATGATGATGATGATGATGAGTATGAGATGAACAACAAAAGCTTACATGGACCACAAGGTGAGGGGTCATTCTGGCCACTATCTTAACAACAATCTTCCAGCTCCCAGTTCCTAAGGCAAGGTTGAGCTAATGTAGGATTAGTATACAGTGGAATACTGATTTTTTGAACCTCCAAGGGGAAAAAAATTGAAATAGCTCGAGAAATTGAGGGTTGAAATAATTTACAGTGTTCACCTGAAGAGAGGAAACAACTTTTGGTTCGAGTTATTGGGAGCTTAAAAAAAATGAGGGTTCGAGAAATTGGGATTCAACTGTATTAGCAAATTACTTGAATGTTTTCTTTAGAATGCATTGATACTCTGTGTGTTTCAAGAGGAAACTCTCATGTTCTTGTTTGCCTTGTTAAGACTGGTTACAGAAATGCCTGTAACAAGATGCTAGTTGCTACTTAACTAACTTGCAAGGAGTCATGAATGCAGTTTTAAAATGCTTTTACCAGCTCATTCAACCATAAATATAAATGCTGTAGGATGGCTATAGATTGAAATGGGTGAATTGAACAGTTCTATATTCTTGGTTTATAATGTAAGTAGAGTGAAACCCTGTTAAGGTACAGACATCATCAAGAAGGGACCATCCAAATTGTCATGGTGTGTTAACGATGTGTCCATAGCGAATTTTGAGAAAATGTTTGAGCTAGGGAATAAAACCACTATACATACACACTGTACATTGTAAATGCAAGAAGTTTGTATTTGATTGGTGTATGTAATCAGTAATGGGTTATCACTATGGTAACGTTTATGTTATTTTACTGTTATGGCAGACACCTTCCTCTTGCCAGGAATATCCTCAACACCAAATAACTGTGACAACTCACTTGGCTCTTTGACCACGCCCATGCCTGAGGATAAACAAGAACTGATCACAGCAAAGTCCCCTTATGTTCAGGGAAGTGTACATGAGGAGTGTGCTTGGTTTACAATTGAGGAGGCTCGCATCAAATCACCAGTTTTTGAACAGATATACCATACAGAGCAATTCACACAACTTCTAGCTTCCATTTTGACAACAGAAAAGGGGTAGCTGTATTTATACATCATCTCTAGTTTCAATGTTTTGGAATTAATATATTGAAACAATTGTCTCAGCATGATTCAATTGCTTGCAACTCAAGGCCCTGGTTTGCATAATTGCAACAGATATGGCCAACAGAAGCCATGTGCCATTTGTGTAATTACAGATTGTGCTTTGGTTCCAAACATTAAATTTTTGTGGAATCATATCATTATGCAACTTGGTTATGACTTGCAAACTCTCTCAGAGTAATACATGTAACTAAGATCTGCAAGCTGATGATCAACTTTTTAACCAATTATATTTTATTTACCGTATTTTTTAGTAAAAACCTGATCTGCTAGAGGAACTTATTTGAACTGGGTCTTTTTGCACTGATCTGTACATATCTATATCCATCTCTTAGGATACACACAACAGTTGTTTAATTGAATATCCACTTCACCCAAAACTTCATGTTGTATTTTATAAACTGTTTTTGACACAATATTTGTGCTGTAGCCATTTCCTTGTCTGCTAATTATAACCATTTCACACATAATCAAAGCAACACAGACATGCTTGATGAATACATGTTTATTTGTACCAAGAGTGCAGCCATTAGCATTCATACCCTGACAAAAAAGGTCAATTTCTAAACTACAACAATTTTAAATTACCTATACACCACATGTATATTAAAGGCAGGCTTTCCTTGAAATCAAATGTTACTGGATAGTAATATAGTGGTGCAACTATATAAGAAAGTTCAAGCAACCACAGTTGAAACAACAAGGGCAAGCTGTATCAAAAATCATGATCTATTTTGTGTAAAGGTTTTGTAATGATCTAGATCTACTCTGTTCAGCCGTCTTAAGTAACTGTCATATTGCTGAATATGTAAAGGGCAAAATCAAGCCTAAAAGAAGCCAGTGACAATCACCACAGGATTGTTGTTTTGAAGAGGACAAAAAAGAAAATGTAGCATGATGTACATAACAATGTTATTGCAACTTTCTTGTTGCCATTACTTTTATCATTCACTTGAACTTCCTATATTTAACTACCACCACCACTGCAAACAAAATGATAGTGCTCAGCCAAGGTCATTTTAGGAAACTGCCACATTACAGACATGTGTTACCTAAGACAATCATTTTTAACAATGCAAATAGCAGTTTGCAGAAGCAGTTTAACAGAGTGTATTTCTATTTAGCAGTATGTTATTAAAATATAAATGTTGTATCAAACAACTGATCAATCCAATCTTACCAGCAGATGTCCAAACAAAATCTTCACTTTTTTAACTATCCAAGCTTCTTTTGTGTTAATGGATTAGCCAGTTTCAGTCACAACAAGCCAAGTCATCCATTTTTATTTGACTTGCGTAACAAAAGTTCATTTGTGGAAACTGTTAAAAAATGTTTTGGACTTAACAAGGTCCAAACATTTTTGTCACAAAGTTGACTCCAACCCCTTGATCTACCCACATGTCTATGCTGTATTATGATTAAAATAAACCTAGATGATTGAAGACTTACATTTTCCAACATATTTCAAACACACTTTTAGGATAGGAAACAATTAAGCTCTATAAAACTGTGTTCTTATAAAATAAATAAAATTGATGGGAAAACCAGCCCTTACAACATATTTGAAAACAATATATTTTTCATAATCTTTCAGTGCCACTGGTATTAAATTCCACTATTTATTATGTGACTGAGAAAATTACTTCACTGTGATTGGCTGAGAGCATACTAATTTATTGTTAATCCTTAATTTGAGCTGCAGCACAAATAAACGCGCACATGTTTGCAATTTTCTCAGTCGTATAATAAATGAGTAATTGCATGAAAGATCGAGCAATCAATGATTTACATTACTCTTGATTGAAAATTCTACAAAATTGCCCTTGCCTATACATGGAGGTCCCTGCAATTTTGAGAGAATTTTCAAATATCACCCGTATTGTAAATCCTTAACTACACTTGCATTCATACAATTACCTACTGTATACTAATTAGTGGCAACTCTTAAAAAGAGATTATAGTACTTGAAATAACTAAAATAATTTAAGTTAGTCTAGGCAAGTAAGGCTTATTGAGCTGTGTGATCATTAGCTTAATGTAAACTTCTCAAGGCATACATTCAAACCACCGATGGACACTTACATCCTCTGACTAGTGGGGTGTCTGTACCAGGTAGAGAATTTTGAACTTCACTTTGGCATCATGGTGAAGAGCGAGGCAGTGTGAGAGAAAAGTGTCTTAACTGTCATCCTAACCAAGAACACATTGTAAGAACCCCAGTCAGGGTACCAAACCCAGACTACTTGATCCAGAGTCACTTTATTGATGTTTGTACTTTACATCTACATTTATTCCTCGAAGAAGGGTCACTGTGACTGTTTGTGTTCCAGGGTTGATTGCTTGGTTCAATTACTCTAATTGTTTGCTTACCTACTTTATACACAGCACTGAATTTCATCCTAACGTGACAGGTAACCCTTGTAGGTTGACCCCCCCCCCCCCCGCCCCCTTGGAGGTTGCTCCTACATCCCTAGTTTCCCTTAAGTGGCCAAACAGACAGCACAAATTAATGAGATAGCTATAGTATTATTGTCTACTGTGAAATGCTAATAATAATTTTTTTGTTTGTTTTACGGTTTGTAGTTTTAATTCTTTCCATGTTAATACATGTACATGTAGTTGCACATAGCCCCAAATGAGATTTTTTAACTAGTAGTGTCTTACTCCATGTGTTAAAAATGTACCTTTTTAGTTGTGTTTTTTTTTTGAGGGTCCAATTGTCTGGCTTGAATTTGCACTTGACCTTTGAATGGAAAATGTTTACTTAGTGGTTGAATACTATGGCTTGGCCCAGAGATTTATATCAATACTTTTGCACAGAGTGAGATAAACAATGGATGATTTATCAGTTTGCTAGTTAAGTCCCCTTGCACACACTCATCTACATGTAAACCATGTTGATGCAGTAAAACATATTTTACATTTTGCCATTTGCTCAAGGCAAATATATCTTTACAATAGTAGATATAAACTCTACTGTACCAATAATCCAGTCTAACTAAAATATAAGTTGACCAGAACTTTGAATATGTTGTGTCAATGGCCAAGAAAGGCCTACAATTCTTTTCATGTGCTTAAGAATACACATAACACAGCTACAGTGAATTAGTATTATTACAGTGGGAACCTGATTTTTAACTACCTAGGGAAAGGAAATTGGTTCTAAAAGTCGAGGGCAACTTTCTCCTTGGATTTTTTGCCAACAATTGAAAAATTGCTTTGAATAATCACAAGATTTGAATAATCAAGAGTTTAAAACATTGGAATTCCACTGTATTAACATTGTTGAATGAACCAAACAGACTGAAGTCTGGGAGATGATCAGAGCCTTTAAATTATATATTAAAACTTCTATTTATGGAACGAAAATTGGAAATATGCTACAATTAACATCCTTAATTAAATAGTCTCTGTTCAGTAAAGTTTAAATTTCTAACTACAATAATTTTTTACCACATTATTGTGATCAAGAAGATGTCCAAACATCTTGAATACATGATTTTAAAAATCATTGTAAAATTTTGAATCAAAGTCGGTGCTTCTGCACTTGCATCAACAACTCATGGTTATAAATAATATTTACGTTACCATAAATAACCTCTGAAGCAATTTCCATATAAAAATGTTTCTCAGCTTAAGAAATTGTATTACTTCAGAGGAATACTCTGAGAATTATTGAAAATTAGAAAGATAAGAACTAGCACTTTGAAAGTTTGAAAGTGAAGAAAAAGTTACGAAACTTAAATTAACATCACAACAATTTTGTTGAAAGTACTTTTTCCAACATGTTATTGCAAAATGCCCCAGGTGACAGGTCTTTGGTTGGAGGAAACCTACTGGATGTTCTTGAAGGCAAAGTATCTGTTGCAAAAGTGCTGCAATTTGTATAGATTTCTCAATATTCTCTTGGCCAGTTTCTTGTACAAGATCACCTTCCTAAAAAGGTAAGATCTGCACTTGGACCAACATGGCCCACAGCATTAGGGTTTATGCTAGTTAGGTAACATCAAGCCTCTGAGGAATATTGCTACTGATGCTAGTCCATCACAGGTTAACCCAATGTAACAATGAACACCCCAGCCAGTCTTATTTGGGTGATAAGAACTATGGGATTAGCAAGCGTGATAAAACGTATCAAAATTATGCCCCTTTGGACATTTTAAAACTTACGAAACCCACACCCTTCATGGAAGACCACAAAAGGAAAAGGGAAATAAAATTGAAGAAAATAACACAAAACACTCTGAGTGACTTAATTAAACTAAGTCTAAGTTAGAAGGCTCAATCATGGATGAGCCCCAGTTTTCATAGACCACATTAAGATCTGATGGAGTAACACCAGTGTGGCCACTGGTTTTAACTGGTTTCGACCACAATTTTCTTAAATGCCGTCTAAACTGCATGTAATTATGATCAGATGTAAAAATTATATGTTCAGCTAAAGGTATTAAAAATTTAAACCCAAACAGGCCTAAAAACTTAATCTGGTAACCTACTGTAAAACACCATGCACAGTAGATTATGGAAACACACTAGTGCAAGTTAAGTAATCCAAACTTAAATAATCACATACACACATCACTGAATTCTGTGATTCATCGGCTGTACATAAAAGCTGCTAATGTCCCAAGTCCAAGAGTAGTGAGAAAAACACCTTTCCACCATGCTCCCTCTTGGCCTTTCTCATTGAACTGTTTATCCAGACCGTCCTGAAAGAGACATTTAAGAATTTCAGTAAACACCACTTTCTTAAAATTAACGATAACTTATTTTGTGCATAAGAAGGAAACTGCAAGTAATGCATGGATTTTATTACAATCCCTTTTTAGGGGATTGGAAAGGAAAAAGTTTCTTGCAATTGTCATGTCTCTCAGAGAAGTGAATGACCCACAGATTCTAAACAAGATTTGTCACAGTCTATTCCTGGTTGTTTCAAACATTTTGTATTTGGCTACCTTCCATCCCCATGCCATATATGTGATGGCAGAGTTTATTTTACTTATTTCTTTGTGTGCCATGCTTGCATCAGATTACTCATGCCAGTCTTCATAATTAAAATATGGATTCTGGCTTAAGTAGTCAGTACCATGAATTTCTCAACCCATAAGTGATATTTCCCAATGTACATGTAGACATCCTTGATGTTGCCACGTGGAGTTTTGTGGCTACAATTATTTGATGATTAATTTCCTTAAATTTGAAAAGACAAAAAAAAAACAACAACAACAACAACAACAAAAAAAACCAACAGGAGAATAAAACCAAACTCTAAAGAAATATTCAAAAAATCCCCCAACTGCAAACCAAGGACTGCAATGTGATGCATACCGGGAAAAGAAAGAGACTGCTAGCAGTCTAAGCTGTTTCACTCTGAAGTTACATACGTCAAATTCTGAGCTGTTAATTAGGAAGAATATTGAGATTCCAAGAAAAATTCAAAGTATGAGATGCCGTTTTTGAAAAGTCAAGCAAGACCATTCTAGAACCTTGGGTTCAACAGGAAGAAACAGAAGAATGTTGGCACTACCAGCAGGACTGAAGTGCAAGCCAGCATTATATTATTAACCCTGTAATGATAAAGTTGTGCTAGGAAACACCCTGTAAGGAAGCGTGCACTAAAAGCCATACTTCTACTAACTTAGTAGACCTGACAACTAGCAGATCTGACCCACAGGAATTTACATTTGGGTAATCAAAATTAACACTTGTCTTTTCTTTTCCCAGTGTTTTCTTAGAGATATACGAAACATTTTCCCTCTGTTTCTAAGTTCTCCCAAACTGCCATAAGTTTTTGAAACTTGGAAGTAAAGCTGTGGAAACACACCAAACTTCCACTTTCATTACCATTTAGCAATTAGATTAAGATTTCTATCATGCATAGAAATCGAGAGCAAATAATCTAATTGTTTTAGTATAAATCTACTAGTAGTTCAAAACTTTATCTAAATCCTCTTCACAGACACTTGGAAAATGCCAAGAAGTGACCGTCATTTTGTTATCAAGGGCAGTCACTGCTAGGCTACTCACTATCACAGAATAGATAGTGAGTAGCGTAGCCAATGAGAGAACAGCATTGGTGATAGGACAGTAGTAGATTTATACTAAAGCAGAATAGATAGTGAGCAGCGCAGCCAATCAGAGAACGGCATTCACGATAGTTATACTAAAACTTGAAGGAGACACAAAATGCTTCCTACTCTTTAGTCCAATACACTAAGGTTTAAATACATGGAGCACCTTACACATAATTTCCTTGAGTGCTCACTACCAGTTTCGATATTTTCCAGATGTGTTTTAACTTATGGCATGGTTTGCTTCTCTGTGACCCCAAAAGCATCCTTTATTTTCCAAAGTTGGAGATAATTGAACGTTTGTTATTGAAAAGATGCTATGTTAGACTAAACTTAGAGTTTTTATTCTCTGTCAAACAGCAATATCAGTAAAGTTTACTTTTCTTAGTAACTTTTGTTAATTTACATCTCATAACAATGAACATTGCTGTGGTTACTAAAATTATTTGTGTTATGAAGTGGAAGAGTCTAGATAGCAAGAGAAAAGACAAGACTTGACAAGTCCCCACAGTTGAAGGAAAGAGGAAGTAACAGCATAAAATTCTGAAGCAAGCTAGACATTTCTACCTACAGACTTCGTTCAAAACTGCTTTCTCAGCGTATTTGCTGATTAAATACCGATCTTAAAATTCCAGAAAAATGATGTCGGTTACATGCAATTGGTTTACTCAATTTCTTTTGTTGACAGATAATCACGCTTCTGTTTTTTACATGTCAGTACCACAAATCTCGTGAGAAACGTTATCTTCGTGTTTGCTACAAGTTCAGTTTAGGAAAACACTTGTTATTTTCTTATCCACAAGGGTGGTATTCTAGGATTGGCTTGAACAGTCGGAGTTCATTGTGAAAAGAGCAAATCATTTTAAAAATTCCTCCAACTACGCAACGATTTTTTTCAAACACTGATAAAAATTCTAAAAATGTTGTCATTAAATAAAAAAAAACCTTAATAATTCTGGTCTTTGTTTGCAAGTTTTCTTTTTTTAGCTCAGGAACTAGCAATGTCTGATCTTGGAAAGTATTTTTCATTCCTGCAACCAATGAGAAGAAGAAAACCCTTTTATTATTTATGGATACCAGTTACTGCAGCAGCTGAAAACGACACAAACTTCAACCATCTTTTGTTTACGTGAGAACTTTCAATTATTACGAACCTCCATCGATGGTCTCCGGGGTTTTCAAAAAATCCACGAGGTATTTTAATGTGGTTCAAGCTACCATCGGGTTCAAAGACGGATAAACAAAACGAAACAAAATGAGACAGTGAAAACCGATTCGATTAAAATTGTTACGTACCCATCCACCATGATTTTCGATCCACTCACTGAGACCAGCGCCAACGTATCTTGCTACCCAGTCAGTGACTGAGGCGACAAGCTCTTTCATTTGGTGTTGATCGCAATACACCGCCAGCTTGCCTCCAAAAGCATAGAGAGCTACTATTCTCCCCCAATTTATTCCATCGGCGAAAACCTCACTGGCGATCTCGAAAAACGTTTGATAGACAGTTGCCCGCGTTATGTTTAATTTGTGGCACAAATGGTTCAGTAGTAAAGGGTATTGCTCTTCGATTTGGTCAGCAAGTCTGCGTAGCGTAGCGGCAGTCGGTGATACAGGTATAGGGCTATTTCCGAGTCTGTACGATATAAAATCATCGGCGAGAACCTTGGCTTGTCTAGCAACCGGCGAATCTTCCTCTTTGGGCAGTTTAAGTCGACTTTCCATAGGGCTTTATATTTTTGAAGCATTTACTTTTACAGACCACACGCGCTTTTCACTGTATCCAGTCTCACTATGAAGTCTTCGTCGTCTTCTTTTCGCGAAGTCCTCCTTCGCCCCATCGGCCTACAAGTAAACTTTTATAGTGAGAAAATGAAACAGTGGATCGCAACTTTCGAAAACGCAAATAAGTAAGAAGCGTCGGTGCTTTCGAAAGCAAACAAATTGAAATTACCTTCCTCCATCTCCGCAATCGAAAAAGCCGAAAGGAACTCGGTGATGTCGGAGAATATTTATAACCTTGTCAAAGGATTTTAAATGTTCTGTGTTCCCATTGGTCCAACTCAACATTTCTGATACCAGAGGCCCAGAGCCTTTGAGCTCTTCGATTAGCGCTAAGTCACGTGGGAAAGTGGTGTTATCTGACGTGTTGTCCTAACAGGGTGATCCTGATTGGACCAACATGGTCTCGTGTTCCCGCGAAGTGACGCAACGCAATACACGCGTTCACAATGTGCTTTCGCGGCAGAACCCATCAAAACAAACGTCTATCACATGTCTAATCAGATCCCCGCTTACTGCTTTCTGATTGGATGATTACCTGATTATATGCTGCGTCAAGGTTTATTTTTACCACATTTTTTCTCGCCGAAAAATTTTTTTCCTGAAGTGCCCGGCATATTGTTTGTTTCAATTTACTTCCGAAGGCGACGAGAGAAGATCGAGAACGGAAAAATAGAATCTTTGATTTACGATTCACGAAAATCAGTTCCAACGTTTGGTATTGAACTGGAAGACGAAAACCTCTCCCAAGGGAAGATACGTAGTTTGTATTGCGATCGTGTTGACGGTTTGGAGCTCTGTTGTGTTTCAATACAAGGAGCAAAGTGTTTTCGCCGCTAGCCGGTTGATTGAGCTGCGGAAAAGAACAATTTTGTACAAGAACAGTCACTGATTGAGATCAGAGTCAACAGCTGAAGTACAGATTTTTTTTTAATTTCGAGAACGATTTGTCGACTGAGTGCTGCGTCAACTAAGTTTATAGGTGCTTGTTCGTGACTGTTGTCGACGTTTATAACGGTTGGAACCAGAAAAAACTACTTTGCCGAAAAAGTAAACAGACTTGAACATGGAGTCGCAACTGAGCAGAATTACAGCCACTACGGATGGAACACTGACAGGACAAACCGAAAATTTAACCACAAGGAGCGAAAACGAGAACAGTGCCCGATCATCAGACCGTGTGGAAAACGGCCAACAAGCTGTGACGCAATTGAGTTTTCAGATTTTGTCGAACAATAACAATGTTACTCCGCGTCAAGTCGGCCAGATATTACAAGCAATGGGTGATGAGCTTAACAACTTATTCAAATATCAGATGAGGAGCAGTAAGAATGGATAAGCCGGAGAAGAAGGGAGAAGGTTACGTTAAAGTTGTACTTGACCGATTCGACGGTTTCGGTAGGAACTCCCTTGTACATTGTACTTGAAGTTCAACAGAACCTTCGACGCTATGTCAGATGCGATATTAGCTTCGTTTTATCGCTATCTTTTTTTTATTTTGCCATCGACAACGTGGAATTGTTATACAATTTACATTAAGCTGCCCTTGGGACGTGATCTGCCAAGGCCACGGTCGATTGCAGAGTTGCGATTGGCCGAGCGTATAACTGTCTTTCTTACGATAGAAAGATTTCGAATTGCCGCTTAAGAAAAATCCCCGTGGGATAATTCCCTTGAAGCAATTTTATGTTTCAAAGTCTACTCAGTTGTGATTTAAAAGCTAGAAGTTTAGTGCAATAATTGTAATTCCAGGGTGTAAATATAAGCGATGGTCGGTGTTATTTGCAAAGCGATTTTGCATGCAAGAAGAGAACTCACTGAGAAGGCAGATAGATACTGGCCATTGTGTTGTACATTTGTAAATGCTGTTAAAGTGCTGGCTGTAGATAAAGATTAAGACCCGCTATTATTAAAATAAGGAGATGTAAAATAAGTTAAGTTATTTTAAAATGCTAAACTTGTACACAGCTAAAGATTATATTTAACGTTGGCCGGAAATTGGACGTGTGTCATTCGTGCGTACGTGTTTTGTTTATGTACTTTGCGTGACCACCTGTAATCAATTTCGAAACCAGTTCAACAACAATAAACCACTCAGCAGTTTATGTTATTGTTTACGGGCTCCACTATTTTAGCTCAAAGTTCCGGGTTGATGAAGATTTCTTCAGCGTCGTGGCTGTATACTTTGTAATCCAAGTAGTGTCAAAAATATTCTGCCAACAATTCGGCTTTGTTTCTGTCAATGTTATTTGTGTACTTTTCCATCCTTTGTTCTTTTGTTTCGAACATGTCCTTTGATTATGTGCAAGCACTTTTCTATCTATTTTTGTGGTAAAAATCCCTTTGTCTTTTCTTACACGTGAGAAACACGAGTACTTATCTGCATGTCTGAGCTTGATTTATTTAAGTCAAACAGAGAACAATGGATATATTTGTTACTTTTAAGACTTTTCTTTAGTTACCATGTTACTTTTTCCCAGAAAATCAGGCCTAATTCTTTGCTGTGCTGATTTCTTTCCTTCTCTGTTCCCTGGTTTGCTAAATGCCTGCTCCAGCGAGGTGAGGGGGGGGGGGGG